TTTTATTTAGAGTTCACTTGAGCTCTAAATTAGCTCTCTTTAGAACTTTATCTGCCTCTAGATAAGTCTGTGTGTATCTGTGTTGTCCAATACAGCAGTCATTAGTCACCAGTTTCAGCTGAGCCCTGGAAATAGAAGTAGGCTGAAAAAAATATTCCATAAGTGTAAATTACACATTGGATTTCAGAGTCTTTGAATAAAGAATCTAAAGCACAGCATTAGTAATTTTTATACTGATGATATGTTAAAATATTATTTTGGATATATTGGATTAAATACAATGTATTCTTGAGTTTAATTTTACATGTTCTTTTATGCCCTGTTCATGTTGTTACAAGAACATTTTAATGACATACATGGGTGATATGTTTCCACTGGACAGTGCTGCTATAGGCTTCTAGCCCACTGTGCAATTTCAGAGCTCTACCCCTTCCTCTGTCTCTTTCTCTAGTTATGTGCTGCCAGGTACAATGAAATAAGCCACATGTGGCTATATCAATGGAAATTAATTAAAATTAAACAAACATTACAACTCATCCCTTATTCAGTGCTCAGTAGCCAGGTATGGGTAGTGGCTAATGTGTTGAAGGGCAGAACATTTCCATTGGTGCAGAAAGTTTTATCAGACAGCACAGCACGGACCTAGATGCCACAGAGTTATGGCCAGAGCCACAGAGGCAGACTGGGAACGCCTGAAGGCTGGGGAAGGTTTCCATGGTGCCTAACCGTGCCCACATCATCCCCCCTCTCCTAAGTACCTTCACTTCCTTCCTTTATTAGGCTTTTTTATGCACTGCTTATCTTTTCTTTGCTCCTCTTTCAAGGCCTGTAGCATGCTTATCTCTCTAGAACACATCTCCCTCACCACCGCTCTCTGTTTGTACACGGTATCTAACGTGGTGCATTGTACAATATAGGTATCAGTGAGCATTGGTTAACCAGCTAGAGTGGCAATTTTTAGCAACTGATGGAAGTACATGACTGAAGCTAAAGAAAGATCTATGTGCCTGGTAGCAAAGAGAGATGAGAAACATGGTGGGGGGGGGGGGGTCTCAAAAAAGAAGGAAAAAGAGCTAGCAGAGGCAGAGAAAAGGAGAAGTCAGAGAGAGTGGTGACCTAAAATCTTGTACATATCACCAGAATCCCTTGGGCTTCTCACAAGTTTCCCATGGGCTGTGATGGGAATCACTACATGGGAATTCACAGGCTTAAACGATAGTTATAAAAAGTACAAAAGAGATCCAAAATATTATTATGTGATAAACACGCAAGGCCTATAAATGAAAACCATGAAAATTAAGGGTCTGGTGAGGGGAAAAAATGAAAAATGTCCTCTCCCTGGGCCAGCTGGTTTGAGTTACATTTTATGAGCAGCATGTGAATTCCAGCGCCCTTGTTGAATTAGCAGCAGAATCGCACATTAGTTTTAAGGCTCCCTCTCGAATAGGAACATCATAACGTTTTTTAATTGGGCCTGATAAAAACGTAGCATTACTTGTAGGTTCCTGAGAGAAGTGAGTTGTGAAATTGGGTTTTCATTAAACCTAATGATGGAAAATTAAGTATAGTGCGTCTGGTGAAATGGGGTGTGATAAAAGGCATCACTTCTGCATTATCAGAGGTTAATAAGGGAATAGGTGAGGTAAGATGCATAGGAAAAGGGAGTCCAACTAGTTGGATTAATAAACCTTGAAAATCCCTTGGTCCTGAGTCTTCATAGCGTCATTAGCACTGGTATTGACATTATTACAAATGTTATAGCAACACAAGTTGTTAAATCTCAAGTGCATTTATTTTCCATTCCAGTGTTGGTTTTGCTGACACCGAGTTTACAGTCTGTCTAGCAATGTGTTAAGGGAAAATATCCATATTGATAGCTATGTGATTTTGGAAACATCTGATATCATACAAAATTTGCCAGGTGCGTATTCCTAAGGAGCCTGCCTCTGCCAGACAGCTAGTCTCCCATGCAGCCCACACCCTACGTCCTTTGGGAGACTGTGGGTCTCTGAAGACACCTGACCACCCTGAGACAGTGGTTTGGGTGGGAGACACGGGGCTTCAGGTATTGACGCTGGTGCATCCTATCGTGGGAATCATGAGGTTGGCATCTAGACACTCAGACTCAAATGCTCGTTTCCTCTCCATCCCCAACGCCCTCACACTATCACAGGAGTGACATTCACTAGAAGGATGACACAGACCCATGACAGCCAGGACACCCTAAAGACAGAGTGTGAGTTTTTAAAGAAAAGGATTCTTCTTTAAATGCTTCAACCGTTTCACACTGACTCCAAGAGTCTTTATATTCAAAGCCTTTCTGGATATGACTCGCAGCATATTTTAAACATTGCCCGAGAGCTTTTACTCCATGTCAACCTCTCTGCTCTCACCTAAATGTGCCTTCACTTCTCAGGCTCTGGTTTTGCTTGTTTATTTGTTTAGTTTTGGTTTTGTTTTTTTACTTCAGATGATTCTTCCTGTCTTTTTTCCCTCCCAGACCATCAGGCCTTAAAGGCAGAATCTATGTTTTTCTCTGCATCACCTCTGCCTACCAGAGTCCTTGCACAGAGTGGCTTCTTCTCAATAAGTCTAACTCATGATCGCAAGGGTGTGAGGGAGAAGGGAAGCAGTCCCCACACTTTGTCAAGCATTACTTTTAAACAATGCCAATAAAGGTTTATCTACCTTTTACCTAAAATCCCAGGAGAAAAAAGTAAGCAGTATTTTTTTTATGTACATCCAGAAAGGTTTTGCTAACATCTCACCTCGTATAAATCTGTATTTGCAAGATCTGCCTTTTGACAACCCATGGGAGATTAGTCTGATCCCAAAAGAAAAGCTCTTCCTTGGTTATATTTACTGATCACATTAAATCGGAAGTTTTAGAGACCACACTATATACACACTGACCCTACCTACTAATTAAGTATGACCCAATTAATGTCCTAAGTTCAGACCAATTAAATTAGTAGCCCCTGTTCCCTTGGGGGAGCTAATAGATGGAGGCAGGCAGTGGAATGGAAAATGAGAAATGTGGCTCCCACACCAAGCACAGACATAGACGAAAGCATGAGGATAACCAACTACTCTTATTTGCTCAGGACTCAGCCGTCAGGGCTTTCAGATGTGTTATGCTGAACTTTCAGAGCTAACACCAGAAAAGTGTCAGGAAAACTGGGATGAGGTGATCACCCCAGAAAGCACACAGGCCAGACATTCCCTTTCACTATCGTTTTCTTACCAAGAACTACCTGGCCAGTGCTGTCACATAGAAATCATGTGCTTTCACATACGAGTCTATGTCTGATGGATTATTGTGACATGGGAGGCAAACGAGCTGAAGGGAATGTGGCTTTTGAAAAGACAGGTTGCAGAAAATCAGGAATGTGTGCTAAGCTTCCCAGGGAATGAGTATGGTACCAGCCTTGTGGATGTCTGTATTGGTGCCTCACGGTGTCTGGAGGCATCTGTGTGAGACGCATCAACAGCCACATCTGGCAGTTTCATCTTGTGCATGCCATAGATGAGATGGCCCAGGGCAGAGATTGTCCATGTCCTCAAGAGAAGGTGGGAGAGGGGGACAACCCTAGATGGTTCGCAGAAGATAAACAGGTCCTGAAGGACTGACAGTGGAAGTCTGGCAAGGATGTGTTTATTAGTCAGCTTTACATCACTCAGTCAGGTATACACAACTTAAAGGAGGAAAGATTTACTTTGGTTTGTAGATTCAGAAGTTTCATTCCATAGTCATCTGGCTCCAAGGCAGAAACATCATGGCAGAAGAATATGGCGGAGGAAAGCTGCTCTCTTTGGAGTGGCCAGAAACAGAGAATAAGAGAACAAGAATGAGATATATTCCTTCCAAAGGCATGCCCCCAGTGATTCACCTCCTCCAACAGGACCCTACCTCTTAATAGCCCATTCAGCTAAGAAATCATCAATGGATCCATCCATTGATAATGTTAGAACTCTCATGATCCACTCACCTTCTGAAAGCTCCACTTCTGAACACAGGAGACTTTGGAGGGACATTTTAAATCTAAACCATAACAAGGTGGTAGGGCAAGAAATCAGTTTTACAGCCCCAAAGGAACAACAGGAATTCAAACCCAGTCAGAGCAGGCATCAGTTTCCAGAGTAACCAAACCAACAGAAGGTACAAACAAATCTTTAGGTATAAGAATCCTTTTGGGGGAAACCATAGTTCTTATATCAAGGACAGATTTTATGAAAGGATGAGACATAGGACCCAGGCATAGAGAAGTCACTGAAGGAATGAAGGAAATTTGGGTTTTTTTACCGGGCAACATGGGTCCTGGAACACTTCTGAGTGAACAGTATGAAGAAGGAAACTAGATGATAGAAGAAAGTGGCCACTGCTGTAGAGCCCAGAGCTAGAGAGAATATCTGAAAGGTCAGGGTCTCTGCTAGCTGCTGGAGGTCCAAGACTGGCCCTAGTTCCTCCCACTGTACAGGCCAAAGAAACCAAAGTATTAAGGATATCACACTTCCAGGATGCAAGCAAATGGTCCAGAAGCATGACTCTGATCGCCAAGTGTCTGAGGCTCTCCTGGCCTACAGACAGGCATAAGAGACTATTTTTGCCACCCTGCTTCCTAAACAGGATGATGCCATCAGTATTTAGCCTGTCTGGCTTCTAACTGACTCTAGAATTGGTTGACAATCCCAAAAGCCTTGAAGAAGAACTGAATAAAGGCAAGGGATGACAACCAACCTGGAAGTATGCCTTTACTCTACCAATATACACCCTTGAAAGGGAAATTGGCCAAGGGTCATTGTGTTCATTGGGCCTTTGGTTTGTGTAAATATTTAAATCTACTCATGCCAGAGAAGCAATATGTCTCTAGAGTTTCTGCAATTTCTTGATCAGTTAGTTAGTTTCCTGTCCTCCTCGGGCCACACTAGGGGAGGCAGAGAGGACAAAGGACAGAGTTCTCAAGATGATGGTCTGCTCCACCTCCTTCTCTTTGAAGCAGACGGCAGCCATGGGGAGCTGTCCCAGCCCACCCTCACGATCCAGACTCATCCCTACCGGACCTGTGACCCTGTGGAGATGAGCTACCCCCGGGACCAGTTCCAACCTGCCATCCGTGTAGCCGACCTGTTGCAGCACATCACCCAGATGAAGAGAGGCCAGGGCTACGGGTTCAAGGAGGAATATGAGGTAAGACACCAGCCTGTGGGGAGCCTTCCCAATGGCTCATAGGCTCATTTGGGTGCCAAAGCCTTGCTACTCAAATATGGTCCCAAAGCAGAAGCAGCAGTAGCATCACTGTCACCTGTGAGTATGGTAGATGTGTAGCCTCTCAGTCCCCACCAGACCCACTGAGGCAGAATTTACATTTTCATGAGTTGTATACACATTACATTTGAGAAGCACCGAAATTCAAAAGAATTTTTTTGGTACTGGTGATTGAACCCAAGGCCTCCACACTGAGCCCTTTTTCAAAATTTTGAAATTTTGATACAGGGTCTCACTAAGTCTCCCAGGCTGGGCTCAAATTTGCATTCCTCCTGCCTCAGCCTCCCAGAGTACTGGGATTGTAAGCATATGCCATTATGCCCAGCCTAAGATTTTCATACACCCCTCCCTCTATTCTTTTTCCTCTCTCCTCTTTTCATGACCCACGTATCCCCAACATTTGAGTGGTTTAGAGTTGCACCTTCTCTCAAGCGGAGATGGCCCCAGGCTCCTCCCCACCTGCTGCAGATAAGCCAGCTGGTCTCTCCGCCATGATCCCTGGCATGCCTCCTCACTCTCCGCCCCATGCTCATGCCTCTGTGCCACTCTCACCACTCCACACCAAGGCAATGCCTCATTTCTGCCAACTGCTGTGGCCTCTCTCTGCACTTCCTCCCTACTGCTGACATTGGACAGCGTTTTCCTCCCTCCCCAAAGCATCTCTAACACAAAGGAATTGCATGCAGGTTGTGGTTGTTACTTCAGCTTGGGGACTGGACCACAGAAAAGTGCAAAAACTGTGCTTTAATAAAACACTGCTATTCTTTAAGTTCTTTAGCCATCCGGATCACTGGTTTGTCTTCAGAGTTTCTGGTCCGGCAGGTCCCTATCCACTTTCCTGTTGAAAGTTCTTTTAAGTCCTTTCAGGCCACCATCCTCCCAGGATCCAGGGAAAGAATTCCCACGTTTCCCTCATTATACAGAACAATTGAGCTTTCTTTGCCTCACTGCTTTTGTTTCAAACCTTGCCCATTAGACCTCACCTTTTACAAACAAAAAGTACAATAAAATAGAAGGAAAAACTCATTTAGATGTTTTCTTGAACCAAAGAGCAGCTCATTCATCTAAAGGAATTCTGCAACCCTCCTATTGCAAGTGGAATCCAACTGCAGCCAGCTCTGTAATCAAGCATGTCTCTCTTCACTTTTGCTTCCCTCTCTGTCTTCCTTTTTCTAAAAAATATGTCTTGAGCATCTTCTCTATGCCATGCTCAGTTATATGCACTCCGTCCTTCTTTCTTTTCTTTCTTCCTTTTTTCTTTCTTCCCTCTTCCTTCTTTCTTTCTCATGCAGCATGTTCCCCAGATATGTTCACTTCATGGTTTTACTATACACAGTGAAAATACAGTGGCTCAGACCCCACACACGTGGAATTCTTGATAATGCAGACTAAGTTTATCTTTCAGACTGTGTTCTGAGAAATGGCTTACAAAGCAGTATTTCTGAAGCCATGTGAGGTCATGCAATTGTGCTAAACTTGGGGGTTCAGACAGCTGGATTCTAGCAGAGTAAACTGTGTCGTCTTAGCATATCATTTTGCTATCTGGGCTTTTAAAAAATGCTTTATTAGTTGAGTGAAGAGTTTGGATAAGGTGATTTCTAAGGACCTGTCTGATCCTAAAACTTTATGAGAGTACAAAACCTAGTGGCAAGGGCCATGTTTGGCATATTTGTGAGCACAAAAACATTTATATCAATAGATGTGAGTAATTGTGAGCTTGACAGAATCTGCAATTAATTTCAAATGTGGTCTGAATAAAATAACATTTTTTATTTACTCAGTTGACTAATTTTGGAAGAATATTGGAGTAAGAGTTGAAGAGATGATCTCATCACCTCATATCCCTGGATCTTATTTCCCAGCACTGGGGAGGAGGATGCATTTATGCATGTCTACGTGCATGTATGTAGATCTATTTGATGAGCAAATGTCAGGAGAGGGTGTGTTGTTTGTAAAGCTTTACCCAATATGATGATGGCTTGATAAGTCATTAGTCATAATAATTGATCAAATAACATTAAGGGAGAGGTATATGGATCATCAAAAAGGGGGACAAGTGGCCAAAGGCTAAGAAACATCTGTTTTAAGAACCTGCAATCTAAAAGTTGAGAACAGAAAAACAGATATACTTTAATACTTTGATACATTTTCTTCCAGAATATCTCTTTAAAAGCATTCATCCATGTATGGTGGCTTGCTTTTTTAAATATATTCTTTATATCTATTTGCATCTTCCAAACTTTCTAGCATGGAAAATCCTTCTTCCTGAGTTAAGTAAATAATACATGTTATTCCCATTTGAACCTCAACCAGAAATATCACTAATAAGACTAGCCTTGCCTTTAATTAGTTCAAATTATATTGATCAGCTTTCTGGAATGCCTAGCACCTAGTTAACAGTAGTTTCTGATTAACTGAGGGTTAATTGGAAAACATTACTTACTGAAAATGTGCAGATTTCCACAATGCACTAATCCACTTTCTTGGAATATAGCTGGTTTTGGCTGTGATCATAAAATCTCCCAAGATACTAGAATCTTCATCCTGAGCATGAGTGAGATCAGCTTGAAGACTCAGTGTCCTATTATAGACATAAGACTTCTAAGTCTCTAGTGTTGCTCTCATGCCAAACTGCTATGTGCTGTCTAGTGCCTGTCACTTCTCTATCCTGCTCTGCTTTTTCACACAAATGAGTGGATTTGACAAGTTGACACCTACAGGACCTCTCAGCTTTAGCAAGCTGTGTGTTTTAAGATTCAATTCAATTGCACAATCACTTACACATTTTTCAGTAAATATTTACTATTTACTATTGCCAAGGACTGTTCTAGGTATCTGAGATGTGACAGTGAACACAGTGAAGATTCATGCCCTTAGGAAGCTCATATGCTAGCAAGGGAAATAGGAAATAAGCACAGGCTTAAAGATAAATACATTAAATAATATAGTGAGGAGTGAAAAATATTGTTTGCTGTGTTATAAACTACCCCAAATCTGAACAACATAAAATAATTGATTTATTGCAGTCATTGGTTAAAAGTTTGCATAGGGCATGAGAGAGACAGTCTGTCTTTTCACCATAGTTTCTACAAATTTGATTGGGAAGACTCCAAAGCTGGAGGCTAAAATCATCTGAAAGTGTCTTTTCTGTCTAATGATTGATGCAGGCTGTCAGCTGAGGTCTCAGTGAGGAACACCTTTGGGAACATGTACATATGGCCTCCTCAGGAGACCTGAGCTTCCTCACACTATGGAAGCATTGTGATAGTTGGATTTTTTACATGGCCACTCAGAGCCTCCAAGCTAAGAAGATGAAAAGTGTAATACTTTTTGAGACCCAGACTTAAACATCACACTGCATCATTCCTACTTTATTCTATTGGGTGTAAGTAAGTAAAAACTCCCCCCATTATATGGGAGGGAATTAGACTCCATCTCTTGATGAGGAGAGCTAGTGCCAGATTCTAGAAGAGAATACAGACCATAAATATTGGAGAGTACAATCTTTAAACAATACAGCCTGCCATGGAAAGCACCATGGAAAAGGAAATAGTAGATCAAGGAAGGGAGACGGTGTTTTTCAGGGACATGAAGTTGGGGAGTTTCCAATATTAGATAGGGTAGAAGTGTAGTCTTTTTCATGAGATGATATTTGAAGATGGACATGGTAGGAGATATTTGGAGGAAGGGAGTTCAAGATCAGGAAAGTAATATACCTGGCACATACGAGCAGAATCAAAGAAATCAGGGTGGCAGGAGTACAGTGATCAGGGGGTAAAAGTCATAGGAGATTGGACCGGATGACTAAAGAGAGACCTGATGCTGTTGCGTGTCACAAGCCATTATGAGGACTTTGGCTTTTATCCTGAATGAAATGGAAAGGTGCTTCAGTTCTGAGAAGACAAGTGCTAATAATCTGACATTTTGTTAAAAGTGTTGAGCACAGGACACGTGGAGGCAAGAGCAAAAGCAGGGAGGCCAGTGTTGAAGCCACTGCAGTAACCCAGCTAGAGAATGGTAATTCGGGCCAGCAGAGCAAATAGTTTGGCAGGAAATGATTGGATTCCAAATATATTTTAAAGATTGAGCCAAGAAGATTTTCTAACACATGGCATATGAGTGAAAGAGAGGACTCAAGAGTGACAAGTCTGTTACTTGAGGCACTGAAGAATGGCATTGCCACCCAACAGATATGAGAAGCTTCCAGTAAGGGAAAATGAGCGCAAACAGGAGCTCAATTTGAACTGAGTTTTCAGTGCCTATTAGACATCTTAATCAAGATGGCAGGAGTTCGCTCTATGAGTTTGGAACTTGGGAAAGAAGCCTGAGCTAGATGGGGAGTCGTTAGCATATACATAAATATTAAAGCCACACACTGAGTGAGGTCACTGAGCATGTAGAGATAAGGGCCAAGGACTGATCCTTTCAGAACTTCCACTTGAGAAGATGTACGAGCTCTTTCCATGGGTCGTGAATGGTACCAGGTCCTAGGAAACAGGGAGATGAAATAAGCAGAGACTTTGCCTTTGGGAACCTAAAGTAGTCTTAAAGACAGGATTATAAATTGATGATTTTAATCTCTTGACAAAATGCCACAATAGAGGTATACTTGGAATTACAGGAGCTCATGGTGGTAGAGTACATTAACCCTAGCCTACAGGTAGCAGGCAGTGACTTTCTAGAAGACACAAAGCCTGAACCAAAGCTTGAGAAATTAAAAAAAGAAAGAAATGAAAGAAGGAAAGGGTGTTCCAAGCAGAGGAACCAGAACAAGCTATGGATTGGGAATGAGTTAGGGGCACCAGAAAACATTTGATACATAAGAATTGGGAGTGGGTGTAGAGGAGATGGGGCTGAATTTGTCAGCAAGGGCCAGCCTGGAAGTACTCAGGAATACAGTATTTAGCCAACTAAGGAATTTG